GGACAGTTTTTCTAAATTTGACCTTGAAATAATCTTGGGCGTGGCATTATAGAGGTCAACCGACAACGGCATTGAAATCAGTCATAAACTCCAAGATATCCCTATGTGGATCCAGTAATAACTCTTAGATCAAATGTTGACCGGTGTTATCTCTATTCTACAAGATATATAAAAAATATTCCCTCAGGCAGAGACGACTCTGAGCAGGTCAAGAAGTTTCTGGCAAGCCCAGGTTCAGTGACTATTGAACAAAAGTAGAGATTGCATAGAAGAGCAACCATGTTGAATGCAAATGAGTTTTTTTCCTTGTTGTTCTTGTAACTAAAAATAAAGACACGTTATTATTATTCACCCAGTCTCCTGGTCAAGATTCTCACAGGCTACTGAATACTGAAGAGACATATGTCTCTCATGGAATCACGTCTGCTCCAAATTCTGTGAAGAGGGTGAAACGTCTTTCCACTTCCTTAGACCTCAAAACCTGAGGTATTCTGAATGACTGGTTGGATGTTTCGACCTTTGTTCTTATTAGTTTTAGTGCTTGTGTCCAGGAAAGGCAAAAAGGCATAAGGTGGCCTAGTTTCCAGGCTACTGGAAATATCTCCTTTGGGTATAGGCATTTCTGACATGGTAACACTGCGGCGAGTCATGCATGCCTCCAAATAAAATACCACCCACACTTCGCCTCACACATGAAAAATTTACGCCAAGCGAAATATAGATTGATGGTATCTGTATGCCGATGCCGCTCTCAATATCCATTTTCGCTGGCAGATGCAAAACACTTCCTCCCAATAGTATTTACATGGATCGAATAAGAAACACTGCTCCCTATCGAATATATTATATTACCCTGAGTTGACGTTTCGAAATGGAATAGTTTCTGCGGGGTAATAAAATACACGATCGTATCGAATCGGCAGAAAAACTGAGTGGAAGATATAAAAATTTTTACATTGGAGGAATGATAATCAGCCGAGATCTTAGCACTAAGGACCCCGCTATCTCCTCCCGAGGATTTAGTAGCGAAGCCTGACAACTAGGTCACATTTGGCTCTTTTTGCCGACCCCGTGAGTACCGCATGCTTATCCGCCGATGTACCGAAGGCTTTTGATCTCCTAATGAAGCACAGGGTGTCCGATCACTGCGCTGAGTATGCGACTTCACTATCTCACTCCATGGCTCCTTAGAGCTTAGGTACAAAATCGTAGGAAGTAAATGTATGTATCGACCTCCTGCCAGCACATGGGGCAGATAGAATCTCTTTCCGGACTGAGAAGGGACGAGTGAATCTACAATCTGCAGAAGATGTTGAAAACGATTATATTTATGTGTGCTGCCTTATTATATGGATAAGTTCTGCTTTGACCATATTTTCATTGAAACTAATGTCCTTTGATAGGAGCCATTGTTGAATTTTTGCCTTTCTTGTAGACTTTGTGGGAGTTTCTTATAGTTTTCTAGTGAGGTATGCAGCATTATCAGGTACAATGACGGCATTGTCGTCAAGCTTTGGAAACGTTTCTTCAAACCATCGTTCAAATGAACTCCCGTCCATTTCTTCATGGTAGTCGGTCGTTTTCTTTGACTTCAATGCCCATAGGGCAGTGGGCACAAAGCTATCTTCACTGCCAATGTGACAGATAACAAATCGTTTTCCTTGTTCTGGAAATGATTATTTCATATAGTATTCAAGAGAACTAATAAACATACAAGCAGAGCTTTTAACAGGTGTTGGTTCCAAATCTATCAGATTTAGCTAAGTTTTTAGCGTGGGCTCATAGATTCAGTCTACTTCACACCAGTTTTACAACAGAAATGACGAATTATCTTGCTGATTTAGTTGTAGAGTCAGCCCGTACTTTAGGTTTTGTATGTCCTGTATTTATCCAGGTTTCATCCAAGTAACAAATCTTCCTGCCCTGGTCGCGATATTTCTTTATTGATTTTAAATAATTCCTTCTCCATAAAATAATATCTTGGCTGTCTATACTCAAAATGAAGTTCTTTGAGCAAACTATGGTTGTTTTGAAAGTAGGTAAGTTTTCATCACTATCAACCTCCTGTAATACTTTGTCTATGGTGGGAAGTTCCTGCCTTTCAAACAATTGATGGACTTTGCTTCTGATGGCATTCCGACCAAAGTTATTAACTGTATCTAACAGCCTAGGGTTTAGTTGACGTTCACTTCAGTAACTGTGAAATGAAGTAGCGGCTACCTGGTGCACAAGTTGACATTCTACCAATCGTTTTGCAGGAGGTATCTTAAATGGACCGAAATGAACATAGATAAAAGTACCGCAAGGGAGATGGCACTATCCGCAGCTGATCATTTCATGTTCTGTTGTTCCGATTTATACGTGCTTGACAAGTTGAAACAACTGCGGGGAAATGTGCCCATTTTATGCAGTATTCTATAGCTCTCGATGAAAGTAAACACATTTCTGACACAGCATAATTAGCTGTTTTCGTTAGAGGTGTCGAAATAGTCTTTACTATTACCGACGAACTACTAGACGTTATCCCGCTCAAAGATACAATGGCCGGAGAAGATATTTTTGATGCTGTAGAATACACAATGAACGACATAGGTATACTACTCAAAAGTAGTAGTAGTAGTGTTGTTACTGATGGAGCAATGTTATCGGAAGCACAAGGTTTTACTGGGCGAATGAAAATAAAAGTACGCGACGCTGGGCTACCTCCGATATCATCGGTACACTGCATATTACATCAGGAACAACTACGTGCAAAAACCTTCCGTAATTTCAAATCTATTATGGATGTAGTAATAACATGTATCAATTTCTGCAGAAAGCAAGGTCTCAACCACGGCAGTTTGAAGTATTTTTCAAAGACCTGGAAGCAAGTGACGGTGAGATACCCTTTTATTGTGTTATGCGCTGGTTAAGCTGCGCAAAACTGCTAAAGATTTTTTTTAAAATCATTGACGACGTTGAGATGTTTATGCAAATGAGATTTTTACAACGCCACCTTCAATGTTTTTCGAAACAGAATCGCCGCAGTTCCAAATGGAGCTGATTAAGCTTCAATGCGATACGATCTTTAAGGATAGATACTACCACTACAATAGCAATTTAATTTCGTTTTATCAAGGTGTTAAGCAGCAAGATTTTCCAAAAATTCTTGCACTGGCCTTGGAAACTTGCTCCATGTTCGGTAGAACGTACTTCTGCGAGCAGATGTTTTCTTTAATGAATTTGAACAAAACTAAAAACAGGTCTTTGTCTGATGTGCCCTCAGAGGCGATACTCAGAATTTCCACTGCTCAAGCCACTGTACCAAATATTAGAAAACTTGTTGACTCTATCAGACCAATTCAAATGTCAATACGAATGTCACTCCACTCATTTTCCGTTGGGGCTGGGAGCCGGCGAAATTAAACATTATCGCGGATTCTACTAAACTTAGTAATAATAATCAAATTCAAGCGGATAACCAAATGGAAATGGTATTTACCATTTTGGGTTGGTATTTACCAATCCGTTCAAGCGAGTGTAGTTATCAGTTTGGTTATAAGATCCGTGACGTCACGAATCAGCTGTTATATGTCATAGTTATCACCGCAAAATTGTGGTATTTACCCAACTCAAGAGTAGTTTTATATTTCTGGTTATTATTTGAAATGTGACAAGTTAGAATTTTGGCGGGTATTGGATATTGTTATTGTACTTCAGCTTCATTTTTGAGAAAAATGATACAGTCTGACTTCAGTTTTACCATAAAGTGGAGCACCTTATTAGTTATACTCATTACGGTTGTTGGGGACACTTTAAATGTAGTTCCTATGCTTAACAAAGTATCCTGTGTAGCCATATACCACAAGAATATTAAAATATGGCCATATAAACTCACTAGATGATATCCACCTGTATACGGTTTTGCTAATTTCTTTTTTCATCATTTCTGCTGAATCAATAAATGTTTTCTTTGACATGCAGAAAAAATTAGAGAATTGAAAGTTATCATAGCTACAAAGCCATGGTTCCATCATTAAAAAAAAATCTGAAAAAAACATTTCTCCCATGAATATTATGAAAGATTTCTTATTTAAACTTTCCATATACAGTTGTATACGAAAAAGCACCGATTATTAAATGATAATAAAAATAATCAGAGATTATATACGCGCTGTTCTAAAATAAACACCTTGCAACAAAACCGCGGTTAAAACCAACGCGTTCAAGCGATTCGTGTAACTGACGTCATCAACCCGTGTGTCATCTTGAACCATATTATAACCGCGGCACATAACACAGAAATTTTGGTTATTCGCTTGGATTTGATTAATATGTAGTTTTTAAGTAAATGAACAAAAAGGGCTTGGTATGCCAAAGAAAGTACCTGTCATATCGACTTGAAGATACAACGTGACGGTAGGATTTTACCATAACCTATACGTATATCAACGGTCATGACGTTTCATATTCATCTTACATATACTTTCAATCATCTAGTAGCCTGGTGTCAAACTGACCGACTCAAATGAGCTTTTAAATGCAAGCATGAAGCATATAAACAGGATGTATTTTTATCAATTTGCATTGCCTGCTATAGCTTTCAGTCGGTACGACAGAAACTTCTGGCGGAAATCAGTTTGTCATGCCATGTTTTTCCAAATGAGCCTAAAATTTCCATCAAACCTTGTAGGCTTCATTGGATTCGGTTATGACGGTGAAATTCTCTTGTCACGCTGTATCTTTAAGTCGGTATGACAGGTACTTCTGGCAGGATGCGCCCCGTCTTACTGAGCTCTTGTTGTTCATTTACTTAAAAACTACATATTATTACTAAATTTAGTCGAATCCGCGATGAAGGTATACTCATTGCCACCAGCTCCCGGGTCATTTCTATTCACAGGGTACTACGGTTAGCAACACCTTCCTGGCGATGCATATACCTCTGCCTAATCCCTCCCCCACCTTCACGGAGTCACCCCGCAGTACTGTGCTGCGAGCGGTGTTCGGCGCTGCACTGGCAGTGGTGCCATTTCTAGGGAATCCTCCCTAGTTCTAGGGAGAATTTACGATGTTTTGTAGTTCTAGCGGCTTTTAGGGAAATTCTAGGGATTTTTTACCGTTTCAAAAAAAAGATTAATGAACAATTAAATTCCAATCTATATTGCAAAAACATAAACGGACCCTGTTAACATAATTGTTAAATAAAACAGTATACAGCTTTGTTAATTACAAATTACAAGGTGGGTTGCACTGTACATCTTCTGTGTGAATCGTGAATCACCGGTAAGTTCTCCGCCACCGACGACTGTATTACGCATACCCAGTTCAATATTAAAGTGTGACGCGACGTTTTTGCGTGCGTTTAATGTGAATATTAGGACGGTCAAATTAAAAAAGAATCTTTGTTCAAAGTTTTTAAGTTTAGTTTTATGATGATGGAGTCCGATACAGCAGATAAATCTGATCAAATGTAAGTTGCATAATATATTATAAGTAATCAATAGCTGATATATTTTTAAAATCGTAGGGATCAACCCTCTGCGTCGCGGGTCACAACTCCTATAAAAAAGAGGAAGATTCGGCATGAAGTAAAACAAATATCCTATGAACAAAAGTTTAAAGTACAATGGTTGGAAGACCCTAAATTTGCAAATTGGTAAAAAAACACCCTTGCAATGAAACCCTTTGTATATGTAGTACATACGAATCGACTTTGAAATGTGGGAAATCCGAATTGGAGAAACATTTAGCAACTGAGAAACATAAAAAAAATCATATAAAAAAAAGAGGTGTTATGTCACTAGACGCCTTTGTAGAGAAGAAGTCCGGACATTCTCAAAAAGTATCGGAGGCAGAAATCAAATTGTCCTCGTTTTTTGCCCACCACAACGCTTTTCAAGTGGTGGATCATCTGATACCCATTCTTAAAGACAGTTTCCCGGCTTCCAACATATTGAAGGATGTGAAATTGGGACGCACTAAAACGACAAGTGTGATAAATAATGTCATTGCTAAGAAAGAAAACGAAGATTTGGCCGTAGTTTTGCAACAAAACTTCTTCAGCGTACTTATTGATGAAAGCACCGATATATCGGCTAATAAACTTCTATGCGTGAATGTAAAATTTATTCATAACAGCGGCTAGCATGAGACCGATTGCTAAAAGTAATAAGTGTCGACGCTAAAAACGCTAACGCTGAAAATTTGTATACTACCTTTAAAGAATGTTTAATATCTCAAAATATACCCATAAAAAATGTTACAGGTCTTGATTGCGATAATGCTAGTGTAATGCTTGGCAAAAATAACTCATTTTTAACAAGGCTTCGTGCGGAGGTAAATGCCTTGATAGTCTTACCATGTATTTGCCATTCATCAGCACTTGTTGTGAGCAGTGCCTGTTCAAAGCTGCCTCGAAGGCCGGAAGAATTTGTAAGAAGCATTGCTAGTTATTTTTCCTATTCTTCAAAAAGAACAGCTCAGCTTATGGAAATGCAAAACTTCTTTCAAACTGAAATTGTCAACAACAAGGTGGCTTTCGATGTAGCATTCTGTACAAAGACCTTCAATGCACTATTCCAGAGCAAGAAACTTTTAATTTATGATTTATCTTTTGAGTGAAAAAAATTTGTCTAGCAAGTGATTGCACATTATACAGGGTTATCCAAATTAAGTGTCCACCATTAGTAACTTTGTTATTAGTGAAAATACAAAGTCGTTTGAATTAGCAAACTAGTAGCATTTTTAACGCTGGTAAAAATGAGAAATAAAAAAAACAATTGAGAGTCGTTATTTTGATTTTTTTCAGTAAAATAACATTTTTTTAAATGGAAACCCCTGTATATTATATTTTTTTCTGTTAAAGCATCAAATTTTAAACAAAAAAGTTCATAATGACTTTTCCGCTAAAGTCAAAAATAAAGTCAAAATAACGATAAATATTTTTAATTATTCGCAGTATTATAATATTAAGACGGCTATGAAAACAACATGGCGTTCGCGATTTGACAGCATTAAGATAAGCGACAAATTGTTAAACTGGACATACTCGCAACTAGAAGGCTTTGGAAAACAATGATAAAATCAAATAATGTCAAACATTAGTGTAAATACTTGTTTATAAGCTTTATTGTGTCATTAATTTAAAGAAAAATGTTCTCCCATGAAGAAAAGTGTGATATGTTAGAATGCTATTTAGTGTGCAGAAAATCCTCCTTGAGAGCAAGAGAATACTACAGTGAATTATATCCCGCTCGCATTCAACCGTATGAACGATATTTTCTGAGACTTTATCGAAAATTTAGGGGCAACGAAAATGTTTTTGCTAAAACAAGGGCAAAAAAAGAATTCATAATAAGCGAGGCCACGGAAATTGCAGTTATTGGATATTTTGAAGCTTATCGTGAGAATTCAATAGCAGATATTCTCAAGGACTCTAATTTCAGTTATGGTACTGTTCAAAGGATTTTAAAAAACTACAAATTTATTCCGTATAAGTACCGACCAGTTCAAACGCTTTTGGCAGGGGATCCAGAGAGAAGACTTGTTTTTTGCCATTGGTATCTTAGCTTCTGTCGCCAAAATGTAAATAACTTTCGTTACCTTTTATGGACAGATGAATCAAATTTTTCAAATTCTGGAATGTTTAATAGAAAAAACCACCATTATTGGTCAAGAGAAAATCTTTTGTTAGTACATCCAAGAGGCCCACAAGTCCGTTTCACTTTCAACGTTTGGTGCGGTATAATTGGTTCAAAAATTGTTGGCCCGTTCTTTTATGAGGGAACCCTAACTGGTGAAAGATATGTGGAATTTATGTCAGAAATTCTGACTAATTTCTTAGACGAATTGGATCTTATAAGTAGACATCATCTGCATTTTCAGCAAGATGGCGCACCTGCCCACAACTCCAGAGGTACTTATCATTTTCTAAGTACTACTTTTAATGATCAGTGGATAGGAACAAATGGCCCAATACAGTGGCCTCCCAGATCACCAGATCTAAACCCACTTGATTACTTCTTGTGGGGTTACTTAAAGAACCAAATTTACAAGCGAAGGTACGATAACCTTGACGCGTTAAAGACTGCAGTTAGGGAAAAGATAACCCAGATAGATGGTAGGACCATACTTAAGACATTTCGAGCAGTTGAAAAACGTGCCCAAAAATGTATTGAAGAACAAGGTGGTGTTTTCGAGCATCTTCTTTAAAAAAAATTGTTATTGTATTTTGTAAGATTATAAGTTGATGTTGAAAATAAAGTTTGTCGATACAATTTAATTGTTTCAGATTGGAGGCCATAACTTCAACAATTTGTAACCTAGGAGAAAAGTTATTGTAAGCTTTTTTGTTTAAAATTTGATGCTTTAACAGAAAAAAATATAATATACAGGGGTTTCCATTTAAAAAAATGTTATTTTACTGAAAAAATCAAAATAACGACTCTCAATTGTTTTTTTTTATTTCTCATTTTTACCAGCGTTAAAAATGCTACTAGTTTGCTAATTCAAACAACTATGTATTTTCACTAATAACAAAGTTACTACTGGTAGACACTTAATTTGGATAACCCTGTATAAAGCCCGAGTATTTAACTGATTTGAAGCTTAACTACACAAATCCACGATATTTTGTTAATTTAAAAGATCTAGATCTTGGTAATTAATGTAACGCTTTTGTTTTGATTTTGCCTGACAACGTTAGAAAATCAATTCAGAAGTCTTGCTTAGAGTTTTTGATAACTGCCGCAACGGAAATGCAATCAAGATTTTCTCTTTGTGATAATTTTTTTGATTCCCTTACATTTTTAAAACCCCACATGGCCCTCAGTATCGATAAACCTGAAAACATAGTCTCATTAAAAAGTGCATGGAACAAATTTGCTTCTGTTATTGATGGAAACAAAGTTGACCGAGAGTGGAAAAATATTGCTATAAATTTTTCAGATGACGCTACATTAAACGAACATTACTTAAACTTATCTGTAGAAGAATTCTGGTATAAACTGGGTAATATAAAAAATTTTAATGACGAGCCTGAATACCCTAATATTTGCAATTTGGCAAAAATATGAATGGCCTTTCCACACAGCAATGCCCAGACAGAAATAGTATTTTCTGTAGTAACAGATACGAAAACAAAAAAAAAGAAACAAAATAGAAAGTGAATCATTAAATGCCGTATGTTTTACAAGATTTTCGTCTGATAATTGCTGCCAGTCATTTAAAGTAACTAGTGAGCATCTTAAACTAATGAGCCAAAAAAATGTGTACCCAAAAGATTAGTGGCAAGAAATGTATTATTTTAAGTTAGATAATTAAGAAAATTCCGTTTTTCAATCTAATAAAGTTTTATTTTTAAATGTAATTTTTAATATATTTTTTTTAAACCATATTATTATTATTATTATTATAATTAAGAAAATTCCGTTTTTTAATCTAATAAACTTTTATTTTTAAATGTAGTTTTTAATATATTTTTTTTAACCATATTATGAATTCAATATGTAATACAGAAAAAAATAGGGGTGGCGAGTAGACAGAAAAAAGAGGGTAGATTTAGAAAATAAAAATCTAGGGAATTCTAGGGGAAAAAATAGAATGTTAGGGATTTTTTGCAGAATTCGTCTGTGCACTGGTAGCACCTGAGTTGGAGAGGCCTGCCGTAAGTGATGCTAATCACCTCCTCTACCCCGCTTGTATACGCCGATGATCCTTCGATCTATTGTATATCCCATTTCTTACGACGCTGTCACTTCTTTTCTTCTATTTTATGCACCATTGCATCGTGCAACCATCTCGTCAGTATAATGTGCGACAAGGCTGCATTTTCAATTTATCTTCGCAGACGCCATCGTATATACTCATTTAACGTCATTTTTACGTCCACTCCACGATCCATCCTCACATTCGCTGGAAAGTTTTACCTAAGGTAGTAAAGTTTAGATAGCGGTTGGGCATAAAGTGTATGACGCCAAGACTATGGATCTGGGTCACTGGAGCAACGAAGACGTGGTAGAACATTGTCAACCACGTACGTTTCTGCATCCTTTTACTTCCCACGCCTACTGGCGAGGAAGTATTATAGTCGCAAAAAGAAATCAAAAATGAGATATGTTTTTCGGGAGTTGAATGACATGTATACTGAGTGGCCAAAAAGGTAAAAAAGGTATGTTTATTCCATTTTAATAATTTTTGGCATATATGTTCATGACAGCAATCACAAAAAGGCGTCTCAATAAGCTACACGAAATTTAACATTTAACTGACGTATGAAAACTGAATCATCAAACAATACACGCAGCCACCACAAAAACTGAACAGAAAAACCTGACCATTTTATGACTTGTTGTTCATGAAAAGATAAATCAACACGTAAAAAATTCTTGAATTCTAATAAACATACATACGAGCCCCTTCCCACTTCAGTTGGCCCAACTATTGAAATCTTAGTTTTTTTCTTATCAAACACAAATAATAAAACTGTAGAAGGGTGTTATAGGTTTAAAATATTAACAATGAATATTTTGATAATATATAGGAGAAAACACCAACTTTATCACTCCCTAATCAAATTTGCAGCATAAAAATAACTCATGTTGCAATTACAGCATACCAACCTATTTTCATTTCAATGCAAAATAAGTCTATAACGCATAGGTGGCTGTGAAAAATAAAAGCCATGACAATTGTTTTTATTAATCACAGCTGTCAGAATACGTTTAAAATAGTTTTGGGTAGTTAAGGTTTTCAAAATGGGTAGAGCAAAGGTTATTAGTGAGAAAATTCGGTTACTGATAATTAAATTTTTTAATTCTGGGAAATCAAACTCAGAAATTGCAACTTTGTTAGACTTATCGCGGTACAGTGTGAGAAATATTGTTAGAAGATATAACGTAACTGGTACAGTTAATATTAAGCCACGATATGTGAAAACAAGTAATATCACAAATGTCGACCGAAGAGCATTAAGAAGAATAATCGTGAAAAACAGGCGTGCCAATTATTTACAATTAAGTGCTCTGTGGAGTGACGCTGTTGGAAGGAGAGTTTCGAGATCCACAACTCATAGAGAGGCCCCCAAACTGGGATTTAGCACTTGCAAGGTAAGTTTTCTTATAAAAAAAAGTGAAGTAAAAACCCTAA